TCCCTGCAAAGCCAACACGACGCCCTCTAAAGCTGCCACACACCCTGCTGTGGGGAACCATGGAGGAAATCCTGCCCTAGGGTGCACAGTGCATGAAAAGAGCATGAAGGCACCAGCAGAGCAGTCATCAAGAGCGGTATTTGGAGCCCGAGACCAGTCGTGACATCCAGGGTAGTTAGAGCACAGTGAAAACCAAAGCCAGGAAGATGCAGCTCAACCTGGCCCAGCGCCTTCTTCGGCTACCAAACAGCATCACCAGTTACAAAGAAGGTGAAAGACCTGACGAAGATGCAGTAGTTGAGCAACTTCTCCCTCAAAGCAATTCTGGCCAGCCCACTGGATGCTTGTCTTCATGTGTACACATATAAAGGGACGTGCAAGTGAAATCCACGATGGGGTGAGCACCAGTGAGTGACAGCAATTCCGGTGACAGGACTGACCCGCAATACTCTGTTAGGTATCGACAGGGCTACGTTAGCTGCTCCTTTCTTTCAAAGGACCACGAAGGAACCAAACCAGCAGCACCACCAGGTTCCCTTGCTCTTCACGTTGAGAGGAAGAGTGACGGGTCAGTCCCGCTGGGCCTCGGAGGGCAGGAACACCCAGGAGCCCATCGGGAGAGTGCGTAAATGCAAGCCCAGGCACAGCTTCACCCGAACACACGTGGCAAAGCGTCCTCGGAGCCTGGATTCACCGCTCCGATTAGCCAGCTACAAGAGATAAAACCCACCCCAGACTGGCTCAGCAGCTTGTCGTGCAGAACAGGCAGCGAGGGAGGCTTGGCGCTCGTCCCAGGCCAGGGCTTTGCTCGCTGGATCTTCTCGGTGCCTGCCCGTTACTCACAGGATGCTTCCTGCGTCTCCACCTCTATTTGGGTCACCGCGTTCGCGTGCACAGACAAAGCTGGTGTGAGCTCCCCGAGGTCGACGTGCTTAATCCAAGTTTCCGTGACCAACTGGGCTCAGGGAGCGCGACAGAAGGGAGCAGGGGAGGAAGAAGAACCCGCTCCCACAGAGCTGAGAGCCTCTCGCGTCTCCTCGGGGCAGAAGCGCTGCGAGGAAATTCAGCTGCAGCACCGTGGCACGGATGCCAAGGGGCAGAGCGATGCTGTCCAAACCATCTCGGCATTTCCTGGCTCAGGAGCTTTGCGGATTTGACATTCTCCTCAGCAGCAACATGAGGATGAAGGAAAGCAATTCAGCCTCCAGCTGTAAGGGCTGCAAGGAGTCCTGCTCAAACGTACAGGAAAAAGCCATCCCTTTAGTACCACCCTGTCTAGTCTTGAATGCACCAAGGATGCTATCAGGAAGGGAATGAAATGTGGCACATAGCATTACAGGCAAGTCACACAATTCAGAATGAAAGCACAAGCAGCTACAACTACCGAGTCTCTAAAGAGGATGTGAAGAGACAGTGCAAGAAGATGTCCTGAAATATAACAGCCTTGGGGATTCCTGAAAATAAAGATTTCACTCACATTGCTACCACGACACTGAATGTGCAACCACCAATGGAAAGACTGATGGGACATTTCTAACCCCACACTTTACTCATAAGGACATTTAAAATATAAATGAGCCCTCCTGAAATTGTATTTCTGCTGCTAGACTCCTGAAAGCCCCAACTTAAGGATGATACACTCGTACCACAGAAAGGGTGACTGGGTTACAGGTTTCGCTATGATACTTCAAGAAGTTTCACACTATCCAAGTCCTGGGAGACTGAACTACACCATAAAAAGGGGTGTGTAATAATCCAGACCATTTCTGTCTGGACAGTCTGGAAAACCTGGAAGATGAAGCCCATAGAGTCTATGCAGGAGGAGAGCCATGGCACACTCCAGGTGAAGACACGCAGGCTGTCTGATAAAAGAGATTGCTGGTGGGCAAGAATCCAAAGCAGCAACTGATGCAACCACCTCTGGGTGCAAGGGAAGCAGTAAGGTTCCTCCAAGGAAAACTGCACGTGTAGGATGCCAAAAGACTGTTCTTCAGCAACACCATCCCCTGTGAGCCCTTGCTGGCTCCGGGGCACGTTCGCATGGGGTTCCTGGCCCCAGCAGCACTTTCCCAGATGTGCAATATGTGGTGTTTTCTAGAGCTTCGTAGCACAAATTAGAGACACAACAAAGCACTCACCTGCAGCTGGGTGTACTGACAGCTCCCCATCAAACACTCTGGAAAGAGGAAGCCGGGATTGCTGGGCCACCTGAGAGGAGGTTAAGGAACAGAGCCAAATCCAGTCCAGAAATTTTGAGGCAACAGGCTGAAACTCTGAGAGCCTCTCAGTTTGTTGGGGGAAAAGAGAGAAGATTAAGCTGCTCTTTACACAACTCATTATTCTGTAATAAGATTTACCCATATTAGACCAAAATCATTAGTATATCTAATCCACAGCTACCCAAATCCTGTCGCCCTTCCAATTCTCCCAGCATCATTCCTCACCGGGACAAGTTTCGAGAAGCCAGGGGCTTCAAGTCAGCAATTCAAACCCATTTTTGTGCCCCAAAATGACACAGATGTTGCGGGGTCAAGGATACAGGAGCGGCAGGAAGTCAGCCACGATTGCAGTGATCAGATGGGGCCAATTCAAACTCGTGTCGGCCAGCGAGGCGTTCGGCTGCGAGAAGAGGCGGGAGACGATGTGTTTTCTGGCCACCTCCTGGAAGAAGAGCTCCACGATCGTTTGGGGGCTGGACACTGAAACATCAATCAAAGGGAACGCTGAGCACGGGGCCCACGGCTTCCCACGCGGAGCCACTACGCCCAAACCTCACACGTGTAGTCACAGCTGGACAAAAAGCACGTTCAATACTTTGCTTTGTAGGAGGAGACCAGGAAGCCACACGCTGCAGTGTTTGGCGACTTCACGGAAACAGGAGAGCTCCGCTTTCCCTCCCTGTGCCATTCGCTTCCCAATGCTCTGCATGCTTGGCAGGCCCGAGCTGAGGGAGTGCTGACTTTGCCCCTGCTCAAATGCCTCCCCTCTCATTCCAGGCTCTGTGGCTGATCTCTCAGCAATTGTTTTCAAAGCCTCTCCCCAAGCTGCCACCTCCTTTACATCTTTCCCCACGTTTTACATATTTTCTTTCCCCTGCAACACAGTGGCAAAACAGGACTTTCCTCGTGAAGGCGCCAAGAAGTAACCCACGACCCTGGCACACACAAAGGAGATTTTCAGTTTCCCTTCGACATGCTGACATTTGCTCGGAGGCGACGGCCTCTTGATCCGAGGCTTTCGCAGAGAGTTCAGGCTCCAAAGATCCCAGCGTGGTTGCAAAGAGCACAAATCCTCCACGCCTGTCCCTAAGCGGAGTAAATTCCTCCCAAACTCACAGCCCTTCACACTTGGCACTGCTGCCTCTGGGGGTAGAAGGTCCGAGGCCGACGTGGCAGATTTTTTGGTGGACAGCATGACAAAGAGCTCCGTGCAAAGGGGGTTGTTCAGACACGCCACCCATTAGCTCCCTGCCTTAAGCTTTTGGCTTGGGTGGCAAAGACACAGGAGAGAACAGCAATCCCCTTAATTCCAACAGCAAGAGGGGGCTGCACACTCCAACTTCACTAAAAGGCAAGGAAGGGTCTTTACAGAGGCTCGGAGCAGGTTTTCATGCAGCTGAAAAGTCACCTGCCAGCACTTCGCAAAAAGACCCTTGCTGGAATTGCAAAATGCAGCAGGCACAGCAGGAAAGCGTCACATGAAGGGGCCAAACCATCACCCTCAGTCATGGACTGAGCACTCAACTCCCTCTGGAAAGAAAGGCCCAACTTAGAGAGAGGAAGGTCAAGCTGCAAAACCAGGAACGCCCCAAGTCAGAAAGTCAAAATCCCCTGAGAAAAAAAGTCAAAATCAGACCTTTTGGACAGATTTGACTATCAAGCTTGAAGTATAAATAACAACAACTGAGGGCTGATGAACTGCAGACGTCTTACCTAGTTTATAGGGAGTTATGGCAGTAGTATCTGCCAATTCCAAGACAGACAGATGCTGCAGATTAGATTCCCTGGAGGAGAAAGAAATATCAGTGAAAATACAGCAAAAGGCTCCTCGTGCTTCACGTGCACTCTTTGCTCAACTCAAGTCGCACCCGGCACCAAAAACAACAGCGGGGTGTGTGCAGCACTGGACTCCCAGAGCACAGAATTCACACAAGCCTAAGGAGTCAAGTGAAATAATAGAAAAAGATAAAAAAACAGCCCCCAAATGGCACAGCCGGACTCCTCCAGTGAGATTCCCAGAGCAACCACCACATTCCTCATCCTGGTAGAGGCCTTCACAGACACCCACGTGAGCAGCAAGGTGGGGACTTACAGCGTGTCCACGGGGATGTCCGACGCGAGGCACTGGCTCGCCCACCTGATCAGGTAGTAGGACAGGAGCAGAGGAGAGGTGCGGTGCAGCAGGTCCTGCGGAGACTGGAAGAGCTGCCCCCCTGCCAGCACCATCTGCGGGGAAAACGCAGCAGTGGGCACACGAGAGCGGCAGCGGGACGAGGCCGCGCGGGCAGGGAGGGCACCCGCAGCCGTGAAGGACACGGCGGGGTTACAGCTGCCAACTGAGCGAGGAGCACAGGTCACGCGCCTTGCTGGTCCCCTGCAACCTGTGCCACCAAGGTGACCTTCCCCAGGAAGAAGGGGATTTCTTTTCCATCAGGAAACTAAAGCCCTAACGACTCCGAGTAAATAACATTGGTTTAAACAAGGCTCCCCTTGCCCGGGGACGTGTTCCCATCGCTTGTGTCGCGCTCACAGCGCCAGCACAGTCGCTCGTGCGGCCCACGGGCTCAAGCCAGCCCAGGCCACCGCAAACACAAACACAGCTGCCGCTTGCGTGGAAGGGGAAACTTTTCCCCTTTTGGATTCATGCCACTGCCAGCACAGGAAGGTGCCGAGCACGGCGCCACCAGAGAACATGGCCACGGTTATCGGGTTGGGTGCTGCAGGCTGCACGGGGCTGTGGGAGTGACAGCGGAGCCAGACGTGCCCAGGCAGCACTGTGTGGAACCAGACCCTGGAAACGACGTCCTCCACCCACAGAGGGGAGCGGAGAAAGTTGGGCTTCCTATTTCCTGGATACTCAGTATGGAAACAGGGGAGTTGGGGCGTGTCAGCAGCGTGCTGCTTTGCTTAGGATGACAGAAGTCACTGGCGGAGAAGAATAGGGCTTGTGAAAACCTTCTGCCAGCTCCAACAGCCTCCAGTGTTTTGTTGGAGGAGCCCAACTCCGAATCCGGCGTCGGGAAGTCGGAAGCGCCGAGGGGGCGCTCAGGAGCTTCCCGGGCTCTACTCACAGGGTCTCCGAGGCGCAGCAAGAGCTGCTGGAGGACGAGCAGGTCCCGGCAGATGAGGAACCGGATGGTGGCGATCTTGCCCACCCCGCAGCAAACCACGGTGGCCGCGGTGCCGCTGCCGTACAGCTGCGCGAGGTTCATGCGCACGGCGAGAGGCTGAGCTGCAAGGCAGAACCACGGCGTGGGGTTGGCCGAGGCCGACGAGGGCCCTGGCCGAGGAGCTGCCGCTCTCCTGGGCGGAACAGGCTGCTGCGAAGGCTTCACCTCGTTCCATGTCGGCGTCCGTCTCGTAGTCCATCTCTCGGATCAGGACGCCCATGGCGTGGATCAGGTTTCGGATCTCCTGCAGCTTGCTGTGAATGTCCTCCATCACATTTTCCCTGCACAGACAAAGAAAGAATCAACAACGTGACATCCGAACCCAAGAAAGTCCTTTCTGCTCTCCGGAAGGGAGCGGGTGTGATCAGCTTGGACATTCCTGAAGGGAATCCTCTTCTGGCTTTGCGTGCCTGCAGAGCCCAGTCTATTTATTCCACTCCCCCGGGCTACCAGGAAATAACAGGCAGATAGCTGGCATTCCAGAGGGTAATGATTCCAGGAGGAGGTTAGCACACCAACCACACAGCTTGGCCAAGGCTCTGACCTCTAGTCAGTGCCCGCAGGCACTCGCCTTCGCCCTGCAGACAGGGCCACCTACCCAGAACTCAGCTCTCCTGCTTCGCTTCTTGCCCCAAAATGGCTAAAATTCCAGCTGCAGAGGGCCCAGGCAACCACCAGGGCGGTCTGGAAGGAAAACCCTGCAAGCTCCGTGTTCCCCCACCTCTGAGGTGGCCAGGAGAAGTCTCCTGAAGTGCAGGAGAAGTCTACACAAATGCAACTTGGTCCCCATCAAAAGTCTGCTCCAGGCTATCTCTGCTCAGGCATCCCTCCCTCTTCACAGGGCAGTTTATGTAGGATATCTCCTTACGTGTCATTAGCTATCAAGTCCTCCAAGATCTGCTCTGCAGCCTTTTCTGGAGGCTGGAGGCGGGAGCAAGCCATTTCCATGAGGAAGGCCATATCCATGGAAATTGATTCTCCAATCAGTCGAAGGCACTGGACAAGACAGACAACATCACGAGACATCTCCAAATCTGCAATGAAAGAATCTAACTGTACATTCACAAGGGATTTCAAAGTGAAGATGGAAGGACCATTCAAAACCACGTTAGTTCATCTCATCTCAGAAGGCTACTAGCTTGGCCACACTGGCCAGCCTGGCCCTTCACTGCTAACTATGAGGCCAAATTACAATTTGGGACTTGACATGGGAAAGATCTGGGCTTTATCGTTTGGAAAATAAAAGCTACTAGCGCGACAATGAAATGATCAACGTAAACCCCACGATTTTTTTCCAGCAACAGGTTTAAAGGAAATAATTAGTACAGGGTAAAAACAAAGAAAACCAAGAGCAAAAAGGCTCACAGAGCTTCCTTCTAATTTATTTGTCAAGCAGGAAATACTCATATTACAGCAGCTATCCATTTGCTGCCCAACCTCTCACAGTGGAAGCAGTCTTTTCCCATTCTTAAAACTGATCCGAAAATTCACTTTTGAGGATAAATCACTGGCTTGCAATGCATTTTATATATATATTTTTTAAGATTAAGTAGCATTTTTTGTCACTTTGAAATGGACAGGGCAGAAACTGCTACGCCTCCTCAGCAACACTGCTCTCCAAGCCCCCAGTTTTCCTTCTAAACCCTGGAGAACTCCAGAGGCAGAAATAGCTCAACCAAATGGATGATGATTCTTAACAAATAAGCAAATAAATCGCTTGAGCACGAAAGTGGAACTGAGCTAATATTTTCCATTGCCTTTTTCTTTGTGAAACACGTGACCGTGTGGCCAGCAAAGCATAGAGGGCAGTGTGGCAACCACCAAGCCCAAGCTTTGCACTCCACAGCATTTACTTCCTGGAGACAGGCAGCTGCACAGTTCTTCCTCGGAGCTCTCATGAAAATATTTATGCAAAATTGCTTGGCTTAAAATAAACAAATAAGCTTGCAGAGCAGCACAGTTGAAGCCAGAGGGCCAGAGTACCTCTAGGATAACAAGTTTTCTTCTCATCCTTAATTTTAAGATTTACTCAATCAGCTCTCTCATCAGGAGTGGGTCTTGAAGACCCCAGTGAGCATGGCAAAACTGAGCAAGCATCCAGCTGAGCTGATATAAAGCTCATATAAGGGATCTGCTGTAGTGGGACTGGGTGTCTTTGATGGAACTGCCCCTCTGGCCTGGGCTTGAATTCACTTGGCAGCTTTTAGAGAATCAAGCAACGATTTAGGGGATAGAAAATTGAGCTTCCAAATCCTAATCTCCTGAGCAGGACTGAAGAACCTGCCAGCAACTGAGCCCAGTCTTGGCAGATCTACACCACAGAGAGCGGGGTATGAAAAAGCCACGGGGTTAACAGCTCCAGAAGCTGCCCAGGTGCTTTAGAAGACCACCAGGACAAGGAATCACACCGGTGCAGATGCCTGTCACTGAGCAACGTGTGTCCTGGAATCTAGGATTCTTCCTTTTTTAAGGCACCCGAAATGAGCCAAGGCAGATTCTTGAGCCTTGTCACACACTTTTTTTTTCCGGCTCCTAGCCCGAATATTATGGCAGGTTTTGCAAAAGAAAGTTTACTGCAAGGGCCAGAATAAAAAAAGTAAGTTAGAACCCGTGCAGATGATCACGGAGTCAGGAGATACGGCAACGAGCCACGAAGGAAACTCCTGCATCTCCCTGCCTAAGGGTTCCCTCGTACGCAGCATTTCAGAATCCAGCAAGGAAAGAGCTTCTGCACCTCCTCACTTACCATCAAAGACGGCAGCGTCATCCTCGGTCAGTAGGTGCTCATTAGAGAGGAGATAGAGATGGTCCACCATGGAGCAGGGCATGAGGAAAGACAGAGACCCCTAGAAAAAGGAGAAACCCATTATTTGAGCTCCATAAATCCACACCTCCATCAGAAAAACAAATAAACATGCTGCAATTCTCTGGTCTGAGAGCCCAGAGCTGCTTGTGCTTCAAGGCCTCACCTTCTTCAGCAGGCACACCATGTTGGTGTAGGGGTTCAAGAGCAGGGCCAGGGGCCGTGAGAGAGCTTCTTGGTACTGAAGGCAGCAGGCGTAAAACTTGGACCAGAACTCCACCTGCAACTGCCAAAACTCTTCCGGGGAGCATTCGTACTCTGTCACGCTGCTGTGGAACTGGAGGGACCAAAACAGGACTTGGGATGAGTACAGGCAGTGACCAAAAACTGCAGCACTCAGGCTCCAGCTTTGTCCCTCATGGCCAATGTCAAACCCTCACATGGTTAAGGGCTGGTGAACACTTCTCTGTTCTTCTCCCCACCACCTTACAGACTACTTTTTTCTCCCCATGGAGAAAACAGCAAGGGAATAAAGCCCAGAAGAACCATTCCTGCAAAGCCCTACCTAAAGGGGCACCAATGTTGCCAAAACATAAAGCAGTATTGCAGATCCCTTTAAAAATATAATGCAAGACAACTGGATATGAGAAACTGCCTTCTTTCTCTGAACTTCCTAGCAATACTGCAAGGATGAATTGCAGGCAGGAATGTATGAGCCAAAGGTGATGGGAAAAGTCTCACCTCGCTTTCCACAGCCAAGGTAACCTCTTTTTTTAACTCATCCCACGTCAGATCCAAGTCTCTCTCAGTTCCTTGAGAAAAGATCTAAAAAGCAGCAGAGCAGATTCTTAATTTAAACCACCAAGCAACAAAACAGCACCACACAATAAAAGATGGCTGGCTGCTAACGCAGAGAACATGGAAAACAGAGAAGGGCCCAGGGCCTCCAGCAGGCAGCAGAGGCCTCTGCACTGGGGCAAGGCCCACCCGAAGACCAGCTCTTTCCTGGACGCTCCTATGGGCTTCCCCAGGAGGCCTCGGGAGAGGCTGAACAGGGAGAGCACCCAACACGCTCACACCAACCTGTAAAGCCTTCTGGATGGCTGCATTTGTGAAGCGGCCAGGCGTAAAGATGTACTCCAGGTAGGTTTCCTAGGACAGGACAATTTAGAGAGGGACATATGCCACAAGACCAGCATTTAAAAGCACACAGATCACCCCCAGACCTGCGGTTCTTCCCAGCTGCAGTTCCAAATTCCCCCATGTGCTCTAACCTCTCCCCTTTCACTGCCCTTCCAGTTCCTGGGACTCAACCCAGCACCCCACACACTCCGACTTCTGTTTGCATGTTTTGTACATGACATAAAATTCTCTTCCCTCAGCTTCTGCCTTAATAACCATGCTCAGTGCTTAAACACTGTGATAACAGAGGCTAAAGTTTTGTTCCCTCTAATTTGGGGGAATTCTCAGAGGGTAACAAAGGTCAAGACTCGGAATAAAGATATATATTGTACACTTGAGTCATCCTACTGTTCTGCTTCTGGGCAGGGAAGCTTCATTACTTCTTGTTTTCCTATAGGCAGCTCACCCTGGGGTCCTGATCATGTCGAACTGTCACTTCTTCTTCAGGTAGTGGCTGCACAAAGACCTGGTTCCACTGGCCTGCAACATTTCTGGAAGAAGGAAAAAAAAATAAAGCAAACAGCAATAAAACCTTTGCATTTGCTTTGCATTGCAACACTACAACACAGAGCCTCTGTGAGCAGTCACCTGAACGCAATTTGTCATTGTCACCAGCCACCACAGGATTTCAGCAGCTACGGCCCCTCGGATTTGTTAACAAAGCAACTTTGACCAGGTGACAAATGACAGAGTTAGCCAGCAGAGCCTGATGGTGGCATCTCCTTTCCTGAGCTAACAGGATGGTCTGGATCCTTGAGGAGGCCCATCAACACAATTTCCCTTAGATGTATTTATTTATGGATTTATTTTATTTATAGATGTATTTATTTAGATCAGTGTTCCTTCCTTCACAGGTGCTCACCAAGCAACTCTTCCTCAGTCTGACTGGTGGATTCTGCCTACACAAGAATATTCACAGCACTTTTTACCCAGTATTAATTCCCTGGACCAGGAAAATACATAAATAATAATACTAAAATAATAATAAATAAATAATAACAAACAAAAATCGACCTTCCCAGATTTATAAACTGACACTTTCACATCACTGGTCTTTTCAGAACTTGATCTTTCTTGAAAGGGACCAGGGAACCATCAGGAAAACCCAACCCTCCCTCCGACACTTGCAGCGGATTCCACCCACAGCGAGCCCGTCTGGCTTTCTACATTTTTCACATTCCTGCAGTGGAGTTGTAGCTTTATTAGAAAGCAAGGCCAAAAATAAAGAAATAAATAAAAGAAAGAAATCCAAGTAATCTGCACCGCAGGAAAGCCTAGCTGTGCCTTTGACACAGCCCACAAGGGGAAGAACCGGGTACCACTGCATCTTGACCTACTTAAAGTCAGCAGAGCGCTAGCACACGATCCCGTGTGGAAACTCACTGCTCAAAATTGATGTATTTCACAATGGTTTGGTTCTCTTCATTGTGCCACAGCGCCCAAATCTCTGCCGAGGTTAAAGCAAAGTCGACCAGAGTCTCCTAGAAGATACAGCACAGATTTACTTTCTTATCATATACTCAGCACAGCAAACACGCGGAGTTAATACCAGCAAAGCATCCTCTTGGTTCATCTAATTATAATCACACAATTCTTGTTGCTCCACAGCAAAATCCTAAAGCCCAGGCCTCTTCAGAGAGCTCTGCACTCCTCAGTGAGCAGCCCTCCTCCTCCTGTTATCACAGCACGTGGAGCGAGGCCAGCCCGCGCGCTCACCTGCGAGCAGAAGAGCGATGAGATGTGGTCAAGGCTGTAGCGGTTACTCTCGGTGCTCACCAGCTGGAAGACACAGAACTACAAACACATCTCGTGAGCGCTTCGATAAATGCGGGCCAGTAGCTGTGATAACACTCCTGCTTACTGCTAACGACAAGGCACCGCGCGCCAGGAAGAGGGGAAAAAGCTCTTGCAGCTTCAGGCCACCCACGGCAAACTGCGTGCTCTGACAAGAGCCAACACAGCACCCGAGGGACAGCACGAGCCGGAATTCCCTGGAGAATGGAACGGCTAAGTTGTCCCACACATGAGCGCGCTGTCATTTGTGTGCTGCTAAATTTACTACTCGCTGCACAGAGCAGGGTTTCTAGAGCAGTCAGTGCTTGGCAATGCTCAGCGATACGTTTGTGCGCTCCCATAAATGCACTCGGGGCATTTCTAGGCCTTTGGTTGCTTTCAGAACCTTTCCCACGGCACAAACGAGCTTTCAGGATTCTGCTAGAGCAGAGCTGAACACGGGAACTGGCACTCCCGGATCATCTTAATCCCATGGGGAATCCCGCTCCCAAAGCAAGAGCACATGCGTCGCGCAGCGCTTGGAGAGCACAAACGTTTACGGCGTTGCCTCCAGGGGGTCAGACGTGACTTTTTTCCCCCTCTGCTTGGGGCCTCACGCACCAACTCAAGCAAGAAAACACATTTTTGGCACGTGCCAAGTCAGGCGTTTGCAGCATACCTGCCCTCGCTTGGGTGCGTGCAGGTACACGCCGAGATAGAGCCCCAGGGACTGGGAGAAGGCCAGGCGCAGCCGGTGCCCCGTCCCGGCCGCCAGCCGCAGGTCCTTGCTCACCGGCACGAACTCCAGGAGATCTGCAACCATCAGGCACATTTGGTCCTGCCCAAAATAAAGGTATCGGTCAAGCAGCCTAGGAAAACACAGCCTTGAGAGACTGCTTTATTTTTCTCCCCTTCCTTCTACTGCTTTCACTCTGCCCCTTCCTCTCATATGCAGTCACTCCCTGCGGACACGACTAAGACAAGCCGAGAGAGCAGCCAGCAGGAAGGCACTCGGTGCTGACAGAACAGCCGCTGCTTTTGGAGAGTTCGTGGGATTCCGGATTACGCGGCCGCTTCTCCATCACCTCCTGTTCCCCTCCTCTCCAGCAGATCCTCAATCCCAAGAGCGAGCAGTCTCTCCCGACGTCCACCTGGTTCCAGAGCTAGCAGCTTTACTGCTTCTCTCAGCCGCTTCCCACGCAGCAGCGCACTCGGAGTCACCACAGACCTTTCCCCACGGATGCGGACGCATCCATACGTATCCCTGAGCTGTTCTGTGGCACTGCTTGGCTTCTCCCACCTCCCCTATGCGCTCTCCCCTGCAGCACGGCTTTCAAAGCCCAGGCATGTAGGATAAAAGCCTCCCTCTCCCTCCCTGCACATTCCAGCGCAGCTGAGCCGTGAAGGCAGCCGTGCAGGGCTGATTAACTTCGGCACCCGTGCTCGGAGCAGGCAGCTCTCCACTAAGCCGAGGCTGCTGTTAACTTCTCGTTGACAAGGAGCCAGGTCACGAAGATGCTCTTGCCACCTCTAAAGCGAAAGAGAACCCATTCCTCATCCCTCGGCCTGCCTTCCTGAACACTCCAGGTTCAGAGCTACGTAAAAGACTCTGCCATCCAGCCTCTGGTCATCCACTCTGGTCATCCAGCCTCTACCTCTCCAGTTTTCAGGCAAACAGCTGGCAGTGTTGCCCGATCCCAGGCCTTGCTCACCTTGTAGGACCACATCCGAAGTTTATGGTCCTGGCAGAGAGCGAAGAGAAAGGCATCGTGATCTAGGCAGTGGACAGAAAGGCTGACAGGCAGGTCCGACGGGCCACAGTCACCTCTGAAAAAAAACGTTTCAAAAGATTAAATGGGGAAAAAAAAAATCAAGGGTACTGCACAGATCTAAGATGCATGCTTCTATCGCAGTGTGTTTAAAATAAGGTTTAAAAGTCTCAGACCAGAAGGAAAGAGGGCAAAGAAAGCACAGCTGAGACAGTGCGAGGAAGTTTCTTCTGAAGCATTTCAAGGCACACACACAGAGTTGGCCCAGCAATGCACTAACACAGCAGCATTTTGGGGGGGACTGGGCTGCTCCATGCTCAGGAGGATCCCAGGGCAGTGCTAAGAGCCAACGTCTGGACGAACACTCCTTCCCAGCACCCACGACCCAGAGCTGAGGATGCAGATGACATGAGCAGCCCCAACCAGGGCACCATGGATGGTCCCAGTCAAGGTGCTGGGGGATTTGCTCCACTTTCTGGTTAACAAACCAGGGCTCAGAGGCTGGTTTTGCCATCTCAGACATTGTGACAACGACGGCGCAAAACGGCGTGTCCGGTGTCCTCCGCACATGGGCTGACCGGGAACGAGCCTGGCATTTCAGAACCAGGGCAACAACGAACAACCGCTGTAATCCTTAATCTGCCCGGGCTGCGAGCCACGTCCTGGCTAAATCCCCAGCGCCCAGTTACCAGGTGTGACACAGACCAGGAGGACCAGCACAGAACTAACCCAGCACTGAGGGCCCAACTTCAGCGCTGTGCCAATCCTGGGACCACGTTACTTAACCCATTTGACAAAGCATTTACAGACACTGACTTCTTCACACCTACTTTTGACCTCAGCTAGAAACACCAAGGGCCTGCACACAAGGGAATAATAATTACTAAGAATAATAAAAATCCCCTTCTTTGTCACCAAAGACTAACCTGATGGCAGTTGGCATCCAACCAGTAAGGAAACGCTGCACCACTGAGCTCTGTTTCAGTTCCACGACTGAAGCTGTCCCTTTCAAAACAAATATATATATATATAAAAGACAAGATATTGAGTGCTGGTTAACAAGAGAATTTACTTCCTCAACAAAGGACTTCACACATCTCACAGAGAAGGGGCTGTGTGTACACACATGTACGGAAATTATACGAAACACACCACAAAGAGCAAAACGGGCTAGGTTTGCAGACACTGCCTTTTCCCACTCCTTACCAGGCACATCATGAGGAGGCAGCCTGAGGACAAAGATTCCTCCCGAAGCAGAAGGAAGAGCAAAGAGAGCCTCTCCGTCACTGCTAAGCCAAGCCGCGGAGGCAACGGAATTGGGCGCTAGGCCCGGCACACTGGGGATCAGGCAGTAATTTGAGGGATCTTGGAAGTTGATTTTGCCAATATCTGTAAACACGGACTGCATTTGGCTCTCCGTTATCAGCTCCTGGGAACAGGGAACAGAGGAACAAGTACAAATCCTGAACACGTACACACACAGAGGCATAAAAAATTCAACCGAACGCCAAGAAAGTGTCTCTGCAAAAGCAGCATCACTGCTTGGAAATGCTGCTTCAAACCCTAAAAGCTGCAGATGGGAATTTCTCCAGCAGGCACCCAGACGGATGCTTGAGGGAAAAAAGATGCCACGCTGTAAATATGGAAACGCTGCAAATCTTATCCCAATGGACTCATCCATGCTGATGGTCTGAATAAAATCAGCCCTGCACGAGGTGAGAGACTTCCAGGGTTTCCTGCCCAACTGACAGATACTTTTCCCAGCAGTTTTCAGTTCTGCACAGGGAACTGCCTTGCACTGACGAGCAAACGTGCTGTATCTGGCCAAAAACCAGAGCACTCACTCGCAAGTGAAGCGGTTTACAACACCTGGGAAGCAGCACGGCTCGAAAAGCCAATGGGGACATTTGAGGAGGAAATGAGCTCCCCGTGACACTAAAGAGAGCAAGTTGAAACATAGGAAGTTTAATCCCCTATGAGGAAGAGCTTCTTTGCTGTCACAGTGACAGAGCCCTGGGACAGGCTGTCCAGAGAGGCTGTGGGGGCTCCTTCTCTGGAGATCTTCAAACCCGCCTGGATGCCACCCTGTGCCCCGTGCTCTGGGTGTCCCTGCTGGAGCAGGGAGTTGGACTGGATGATCTCTAGAGGTCCCTTCCAACCTCGACCATCCTGTGATCTCTGGAGGTCCCTTCCAACCTTGACCATCCTGTGATCTCTGGAGGTCCCTTCCAACCTCGACCATCCTGTGATCTCTAGAGGTCCCTTCCAACCTTGACCATCCTGTGATCTCTAGAGGTCCCTTCCAACCTCAACCACTCTGTGGTTCTGTGATCTCTAGAGGTCCCTTCTAACCTTGACCATCCTGTGACCTCTGGAGGTCCCTTCCAACCTCAACCACTCTGTGACCTCTGGAGGTCCCTTCCAACCT